GTCATGGTGGATGACAAGTTGACCATGAGGCAGCAGTGTGCCCTCGTGGCCAAGAAGGCCAATGGGATCCTGGGCTGCATTAAGAAGAGCATCTCTAGCAGGTCGAGGGAGGTGATCCTGCCCCTCTACTCAGCCCTGGTGAGGCCGCATCTGGAGTATTGTGTCCAGTTCTGGGCTCCACAGTACAAGAGGGATGTGGAGCTACTGGAGAGAGTCCAGCGCAGGGCTACAAGGATGATCAGGGGCCTGGAACATCTGCCCTATGAGGAGAGGCTGAGGGAGCTGGGCCTGTTCAGCCTGGAGAAGAGAAGGCTGAGAGGGGACCTGATCAGTGTATATAAGTACCTCAAGGGAGGCAGTGAGGAGGATGGGACTGGCCTCTTTTCAGGGGTGGCCACTGATAGAACTAGAGGTAATGGCCACAAACTGAAGCAACAAAACTTCCGCATGAACTTAAGGAAAAATTTGTTGGCAGTAAGGGTGCCAGAGCCCTGGAACAGGCTGCCCAGAGAGGTTGTGGAGTCTCCTTCTCTGGAGATCTTCCAAACCCGCTTGGATGCAGTCCTGTGCCACATGCTCTAGGTGCCCCTGCCTGTGCAGGGGGGTTGGACTAGATGACCTCTAGAGGTCCCTTCCAACCCTAAGCATTCTATGATTCTTTGAGTTTTCAGCTCAGTACTTTACTATCTACCAACATTTTCCGAAATATCTATACTTGAATTTTACCAGGTGCACACCCTCTCCTTCAAAAGTACACCGTTTAAACAAAATTTATTTTTGTTACAAAAGCATAGCATAGAATACAAAGGAAAAAAAAACCCTCTTTCATAAATACACTAGAAAGTATAAATTAAAATCAAATTAGAATAATCATCCTTAATAAATGACACTGCATAGAGTCTACTAATAAATAATTTCTAATAGCTTGCAAAAATAATTACTTTTTTTTTTTTCTCCTCCTTGAACCCCAATCACATACTGGAATCTTGGTTTCTGAAGAAAGATGGCTTTACTGGCCTCTTTTGGCTTGGTTTTCCAGCCTTACAATTTAACCGAACTTGAAAAAAACAAGCAAACAAACAAAGAGAAAAAACACTCACTACCTGCAGGTTTAAATTTAGTCCCATTACTTTTTCAAACCTATGCTCACAAACTCTTTCAACTTAATCACCATAATCTCAAAAAAGAATATTATTTATCACGTAATAAACAAAGACAACTAATGTTCAAGTATTCCAGGATAAATCTATTAGTCTTCTAATAAATATACATAGCCTAAACTCCGAAGAAAGCTTTTTTTTTTTTTTTTTTTTGAAAATTACTATATTTTTCCCCAAATATTCCTGATTTGGTTAAGACCATAACTGCTTTTTCTAAACAATAAAAAGCTCATTTTGAATACTAAGTTTCAAAAGACACATGATTAGATACCTTGTTCATGAGGCTAAGGTACCATCATATTAAACTTACCAAACATAGAAAGGCCATGTTTATTACCCAATAAATCCTGAAGAAGACACACAAAATACCAGCTGCACCTGTCTTCTGCAGCTCAGGATGCACACAGAAAGATAAACCAAGAGCAAACTGTTCTTTTTGCCTACAGCTTGCTTCACAGAGTGATACAGAAGTACAAACTATTTACAGAGCAAATTGATTTAGTGAGAATAAGCTCTTGAATAAAAATTTATGTCATGGAAATGAAAGAACTTGGGGGGATTATAAATTACTAAAACAGGCAAGTGATAAGGGGAGTTTATTCTTAGGGGCAAAGTTGCCTCAATGAATCATAATGGCCCTTTTTCAGTATGTATTCAAAACTGACAATAGCAATAGTAAATCATTTAAAAACAGTAAGAAAAACCTATTCCCCCAAAAAACAACCCAAAACATAATTATCAACAGCTGTTCAAAGCACAGAGTTTCCAGAAGTAGAAACAAGTACATTTAGCTTATCAAACTCAATCTGTTTTGCATCTATACATTTTTTCCACAAGTTTCTTTTTTCTATTTGATGTAGTCAAGTATCTTTAAATTGACTATGTAAAGTGCTCAGGAGACTTTCCTTGTGTTTGGAGACTACAAAACTGTCATTTCATGAAGCACTTGTTGAGAGTCACATAGCAACACTGTCATTTTTGAGAAAAGAGTTAACGGATAACCTGATAAATGCAGAAACACTGCACTTGTTTTCTAGATGTTTAAAAGTTTGGTACATCAGGAATTTTCTACCAGCAAAACCAGCCAACCTATCTGTTCCAGTAAACTAAATCTTCTGCAAAACATATATTTATTTCTTTTCAATACGCACAAGTCACAAAATATAATAAGCTAAAGCTACATGACATAAATCGTACCTTCTAGTTTAAGAAAAAATAATCCTGAATGCATTTAGCATTTTGAGGAAAAGAGTATCTGTTAAGAGACAAAGTTCCTCATTACTCTGATCTGGTTAGTATAAATTAATTAGTGTTCTCCAAAGTGATTCTGGTCTCATACCCAAATAAGAAATCTCAATAAACACCACTATGCAGGAGAAATAGCACAATTCTGAAAAGAAAAAATATACCTACCTGTGCTTTGAGTGTGATCTTTTCCTTCTAGATCGGGATTTTGAACTAGACCTGGATTCTGAACGAGAATGGGAACGAGATCGACCGCCTTTTCTTTCACTGCTCTTTCCAGACTCTGAGAGGAAAAAACCACTTTGCAGTGTAACTCAGAACATTTAAAGATCCCAGTTAACAATTTGGCACAAGTGGAATGTACCACATATAGTACAAGGGGCCTACTCTCTGCACATCTTCCTTGTTTGCAAATATCCTTCAGAAACATCCAAGAAAGTCATTGCATATACTCGTTGAGTGCAGCCATCCTGCAGCAGTACACACAAATCAGATAATTATAAACAGCTAGCTCTATTAGGAATGGGATTTATGTTCCTGCCACAATGAACAAGATTACAACATGTTCTCCTCTTTGTATATTATTTAATATAAATACTTTTTATTTTTAAAACCCTGAGAAGAATAAATTTAGAGGGCATAATTTTGAAAGTGTGGATAAAATGTAAACAATACTTAGAAAGTTGTTCTTTTAAATATCCCAACCACTGTACAAATATTAATGTTTCACTCCTCAAACACTACGTTGGGGGAGGAAGGGGTGGAGAGAAGGGGGTGAAGTTTGATCCAAAGGCCATGAAGTCAATGGAAAGCTTACCAGTGACCTTGGCAGACTTTGGTTCAGATGCCAGAAGACTGTTATTCTGCTGCTTAACATTGAGGAAACTTTAAAGCTATTTTTCTTCCAACTCTAAAAAGAGAACTATCTAACTTACATAAGTCTAGATCTGTTAATAAGAACAATAAAATCTCATTGACTGAAAGAAAAAGCATGATCTCAATTCCAAATTTAACAAGTTAAGAATTTTTAGGCGGTAGTTTTGCAGTCAGTTTAAGTCAGCTTAAGTCAGCACTAACATGGCAGTCTAACTTCCCAACTCGCCAATACCTTCTTCCTTGACCTGACATCTCAATGATTACAGGGATCAGGAAATCAATCTGGGTGAAAAAAGTCCATTAAAATATGGGATGTTTTAACTCAGATTCATTCTCTGATCCCATTTGCTAAGAGGATGCACACAGCCTTGAGCCAGCATGAAAAAGAGTGTAGCAAAGGGACAAAATTAACCTGGTGAAGACAAGAAAAGCATAACATTGCTGCTTTTAGCATCATGCTAGCTCCCTCTGACCATAGAGCTAGAGAACGAAACAAAACATAAAGCACTTTCTTTTAAATGTTTGTAAAGTACTTTGAACTTAAAAAACACCAATATTAAGTATTATTTGGTTTAGTGTTGACTTATTTTGAATGCATTCAATGAACAAATATCTGAAAAAAATGCAATGAAATAAAAAACAATCCGTATTCTACTGCTTTCTTTCATAAAGATAATTTTTACTATTAACATTTTTTACCAAACTTATTGTATACCTTTGAGTACTCTTGTCCTGTGTTTGAAACTGCTCTTAAAAGTGTGTGCCAAGATACACACATAACATGCCTGCTAAGTAGTGAACATAATACACCAACCTGGCTCAATAGCAGCAGATATGAAAGACTGGGCTTCCCTTACTCTCTTCATCACTTCTTCCAGTTCCTTGGCAGCAGCCTGTGGTGTCATTTCAGGAGGCTTCACTATGGCATTATTGGAGTGATTTATTCTAAATTAATGAACAACAACAAAACAGAAAACAAAAACAAACAAAAAAGCTTTAATCCACAAATACTTGTAGAGCAAAAATGAAAGACAAAGAAGAAAAAGTTCTTAACTGACACTTATGATTAAGAACTTCTTCTAAGACTCAACTGTTCTGGCTAAATATTAAAATATAAATGTACAGCTTTTATTGCCTTCCAATTTTACCATTTTTAAGTACATGCTGCATACTGTTCCTATGTAATTTTACAGAAATACAGGATTCAATATTTTCCAGTAGGGATCTAGAAATCTATTTCGGCACTATAGATCAAACCTACACATTAAGATCTACTTAGCCATCCTATTTAAAGCTTAATTAGCTAAAGGACTTTGCGGATTCTCTCACCGTTATCTACTGTCACTACCCCATGATTAAATAGAGATATATGTTAAACTATACCATATTTATAGAGGTTATTTTCAATCTTGAAATTGCAGTTAACAGAAGTTAAATAGTTTGCTAATCAGAACTCTTTATACTGAAAAAGTCCACAATGGTTTCCTGCAGATCAGTGTCATAAACGTATAGAATCACAGAATGCTTAAAGTTGAAAGGGACCTCTAGAGGTCATCTAGTCCAACCACCCTGCACACGCAGGGTCACCTAGAGCACATGGCACAGGACTGTGTCCAAGCAGGTTTGGAAGATCTCCAGAGAAGGAGACTCCACAACCTCTCTGGGCAGCCTGTTCCAGGGCTCTGGCACCCTCACTGCCAAGAAATTTTTCCTTAAATTCCTGTGGAACTTCTGGTGCTTCAGTTTGTGGCCGTTTCCTCTAGTTCTGTCGGTGGCCACCCCTGAAAAGAGGCCAGCACCATCCTCCTCACTCCCTCCCTTGAGGTACTTATATACACTGATCAGGCCCCCTCTCTGCCTTCTCTTCTCCAGGCTGAACAGGCCCAGCTCCCTCAGCCTCTCCTCGTAGGGCAGATGTTCCAGGCCCCTGATCATCCTCGTAGCCCTGCGCTGGACTCTCTCCAGAAGCTCCACATCCCCCTTGTACTGTGGAATCCAGAACTGGACACAGTATTCCAGATGTGGCCTCACCAGGGCTGAGTAGAGGGGCAGGATCCCCTCCCTT